CCACGCGTCCTCCGCAGCAGCTGCCGCGCCCACTGCGGCCTTATCCGAGGGCGCAGCCGGGCCCAGGCCGGCCGCCAGGCCCCCGCGATGGTGGTTCAGCACCTGCTCGATGGCCTGCACCACGTCGCCGCCGCAGCCCTGCAACACCAGCTCCAGGACGCCGCGCCGGTGGCCCGGGAAGACGCGCGTCAAGATGTCCAGCGGCGTCCGCTGGCGTGGACCCGGCCCTCCGCCCAGCCCTGGCGCCGGCGCGGCCTCGGCCTCCTCTTTGTCAGCCTCGGAGCCAGATTCGGAGCCCAGGGGGCTGGCGGAGCCCGGGCTGTCCTCCTCGCCACCGCCTCCAGGGCCCGCGCTGCCCGGGCAGCTGCCGCCGGCCTCCTTGGAGGCCCGGGCCAGCGGCGACCCCGAAAAGGACTCGCCGTCGCCGTTCTCCGAGCCCGAGCCGGGCCGCACCTCCGGGGACGACGTCCCGGGCCCTGAGTCCGCGCCGTCGGGCGATAAGGGCTTCACCTGCGGAGGTTGCGGGCTGCCAGGGCGGCCTGCCTGCAGCAGGGTCTTGGGGAACAGGTCAAACTTCTGCAACTTGGCCTCTGAGAGGAGAAAATAGAGATGTAAGGCGGGATTACGGAAGACCGCACCCACAGCACCTCAGCCCTCTGGATCCTCTCTCTGAGCCCCAAGCCAGGGTTCACTGTGCCCTTCTTTCTTTTGCTTCAGCGTTTCTTCCCTCTCTGGACCTTTCAGCCGTCTCCCCATGCTCCCTAACTTGCTCTTTCTATACCCAGAACCCAATCACTTGTGCCTTCTATTGTTCAGAGCTGCTGTGCCCCAGCACCCTGAGTCCTCTCCCCAGCCCCGACCTGCCCCAGAAAAGTGGCCTGGTGCTGGATTCAGACAGGAGCCCCAACGTAATTTCTCCCTATCCCTCACGCTGTCTAGAAAGCCTTACTCCGTTTCTGGATTCCAAGAGCCAATCTTTCTGGGCAGCGCAGCCTGGAAGGGAAGGCATTTTGGGTATCCAAGGAGTCTCAAGCCTCTCCACAGACCGCTGTAAACCCCTGTTTCTAACTCATCTTTTCCCAAGCCGAGACCTAAGAAGCTCTCCCCAAACTGAGCTGCGTGCGCCCCCTGCCACCCTGGCCTAATTTCCATCCTTCCCAGAAAAAGCCACAGGAGTCCAGAAGATAAGAAGGTGGGTCTGGGGAAGAGCAGACAGCAGTGAGGGAAAGGGATCAAGGGAAGGGAAAGAGCACATATCCTGAGAAAGCCGGGACTCGTGGGGGGAAAAAAGAAGCGGGGCGCCGCCAGCGGTTGTTCAAGGAGCGTTAGCAACATAAGAAAAGGAGCCACATAGGGAAAATGAACAAGGGCGTCCTCTGCACCCAGGGAAGGCAGTGCGGCAGGGGCCGGGGACTTGAAGGAGGTCGGATTTCCGAGGAGTCAGGAGGGAGCGGGAGCCGGGGAAAGTGGCGGTTGGAGACACAGAGTCAAGGAGAAGAGGCGCCGGTTTCCACCCGAGAAGCTGCGAGCCGTAGAGAAGCAGCGACCTCCCGCCTCTGGGTAGAGGTGATAAAACAGCGTCTACCCTTGGGCCCACCAGGAGAGAGGAGTAAAGAGCCAGTGCTCGGGAGAGTGGAGAAAGTTTATGTGCTTATCCTCGTAGGAACTGGGTGCGCGGTGAACTCTAGTCCTCAGGAGTTAGAAGAACGAGGTTCTACTCTTTCTGTAGAGATAAATGCCCCCCCCCCAGCAAGCGCCCGGCCCTCGGCCCTGCCCACCTGACCGCGCTCACCTGTGCCCCCTGCGCCCGCGGCGCCCCCTCCGGTTCCCGCCGCCGACCCCGCTCCCGGGCCCCCGCCGTCGGCGGCGCACACCGAGCCGAACACCTCGTAGGCGGGCCGCGGGGGGATGATGCCGTTGGCGGCGGCCAGCGCCAGGCCCTCGGCGGTGCCGTAGAGCAGCTGCAGCTCGCGCGCCTCGTTCTCCTCCTGCGCCTGCTGCCTGCGCAGCGCCACCTGCGCCGCCATGACGCGCTGGCGCTCGGCGATGAGCGTGCACTTGGCGCACAGGCAGTCCTTCCAGCGACAGTAGCGCTTGTGGCCCTTGAGCGCCGACACCACGCCGTGGTTGCGGCAGCGCGCGCACTTTGGGGTCCGCGGGTATTTCTCTGCCGCCCGCAGCAGCAGCGGGGGCGCCCGCAGCAAGCCCCCCGCCACGCTCACGGGCAGCGAGGCGGCTGCAGCTGCCGCCGCCGCCACCGACGCCACAGATGCCACGGGCGGCCCTGTCGCTGTGGCTGCCGCCGTCGCCGCGCCGGGCACGCTGGGCAGCTCCGAGCGCAGCTCCATGACAGGACCTGATGTGGGAGAAAGTGGGAAGGAGAGAGAAATCTAAGTGAGGAAAGCGCTGCGTGCTAGGCTACAGCGCAGATCAAGGAACCCAAGCTTAGAGCGGGAAAGTTCGGCCTCAGAAGTTTGGGTAGAGGTTGCCAAACTATGGAGAGTTGGTGCACTCGGTTTGGAAGCTCCTGGTAAACCCGAGCTCCCCCACCGCACTCCCATCACAGCTGCTCTTCTATATGATTTACATGCCGGGGGTGAGGTTTCATTTGAATAAGTTCCTCTGGAAAAAATAAAAAGACAAAGTTTGGAAGTCACTGGTTCAGATGAATGTAAGGAGAATTTGAAAGAGAAAATATCTCCAAAAGTTCAGGTTAATTGGGGTGAAACGGGAAGAGAGAAATGTTTGCTTGATGGGACTCGGGTTACACAAAAAAATTTGGACCAACTGTTAAGCTGATGCCAAAGACAAAGCAAAAAACCCCAGAGCAAGATGGTCCGATTGGTGGTAGACGAGGGGAGCGATGTAGGGGTGTACAGCTGAGCAGGCTGGGCTAGGGTTTTGTGTGCTTTTTGTCTTTGATGTGGGCGGGATCAGAAAAGTTTGAGAGAAAAATCAAGAACAGAAATTATAGCTTTCTGTTGAAAGCAGAATGATGGCTAGAAAACAAAACTGGGGACAAGTTAGGCCTCTGGCCCTGGACCGCCTAAAAATGTAAGGTCTGGAAAGTCTCATTGTGCGGAGGATGTGAGAGAAAACAAGCCTGGAGCTGAGTGTAGGAGGCTGGGACAGAGTAAAGAGAAAATTCAGTGGAAGAAACTTTCTTTGGGAAGCACACCTAGCCCAAAAAATTAGTTTGAAAGGCAAGGAAAACATCGAAGAACAGCTGATGTGGGTGTCTGGGACCCACGGTGTCCAAAAGAGACACCGAGTAGGAAAGAAGTACGCTTAGGCAAAGCTAGGTAGGGGTGAGTATGGGGCCTGCGGTGCAATTTTTATCCTCGTATTTTGGGGAAGTAGTTGGGGAGGAAGTGCTCGGCGAAAAGCTAAGCTTTACCCAAGGGGATCTTTCTCTCCGACAGCCTCACACTGCCCTTCCCGCCCCTCCCACTTAGGGACGCCGTCGCCAGACACGCCCTCCTCCAAGTCCTGGCACCCCCTGGGACCCCGCTGGAGCTCAGGTTCCCGAGATCTCGTCTCTGAGCTGGGTTTCGGGGACTTGGATGGCTCCGCAGGCCGCAGCGAGGCAGGGCTGCTGCCTTCCGAACTGGCCGAGAACCGACACAGGAGTCCCACCTGCGCCACAAGCCCAGGAGGCCCAAGCAGGGCCCAGCTCCTGGCTTCCGACACGGCCTTCTCTGCCCACCTTCCCGCTCCCCATTCCGGCCCCCCCACGGAAACCGGGACTGAATCCTCGCGTCTCCACCCTCCCGAGAACCCCAGACCTCCTCCCCTGGCGCAGGTGCCTCTTGCCGCAGACCCTTCGGACTGCTCTGTCCGCCAGGCCCACCGGGCCGGAAAGGCCTTGCTCTACCGGGGCAGCGGGCCGGGTCGCCCCCGCGCTGCTGTCCCTGCAGCCCTCAGCTACCTGCCGTGGGCTCCGGGATCCTCCTCCGCTGGCGCGGCACGCGCCTCCCAGCTCTGCTCCTGACGCTGGCACTCGGCCTCTTCCCCTCGACCCCGGCCCTTATCTGACCACTTCACCCTCCTTCGGTCACCATGTCCGAACTTCCGGACCCCCTCGGAACGCAGTGCGGTCCAGCCCTTCCGTCGGGAACGGGGCTGGGGCCCGTTTGGGGGCCGGCTGGTTGGAACCCGCGACCCAGCTCTCGCCGCGCCACGGACCCTCGCGGTGCACGCCGGACGCTGCGCTCAGCCGGGGCCCAGTGCCCGGCGCTGCCAGACTCTCAATGAGCCGCTCGCCCGCTCTATTGTTGCTCCTTAGGGCTCCATTAGACAGAATTGGACAACAATGTGGCGCCTGCCATTGGTCAGGGGAGGCAGACGGCGCTCTGATTGGCCAGGCCCGCGCCCGGGGAGCCCCTCATCCTGCAGTGTCCGAAAGATTCGAAACTCCAAAAGCTGCACTGTGCGCCTCCGGGAGGGGAGGGGGCGCGACGGGGATGCAGTGGAAAAAAAGTGGGCGAGCAGGAGGGTTGAAAATATCGTGACAAGAAGTTTCCGTGCGCCCGAGAGCGTGTGAATTGCTCCTAATTACCGTGTCCGGTGCGTCTCTCTACGCAGACGTGTGTAACCCTTCGGCTTCGGGGGCGCCCGCTTGGCTGCGCCGCTCTCACTGGCCCGGGGCGCTTGGCAAAGCGAAGCTTCCCTAGTGGCCCCGGCGGCCTGGGGCGGGATGAGGGCAGGTGACAATTCAATTACCGCGGTCGGGCTGGGAGTGGAACGGGGGTGTGAGGGTAGGCAAGGGAGGGTGCTCGTGGCATAAATGCCAAGACGATTTTTCCTGCCTCCTTCTGGCTCTGTTTCAGCGAGTTCCCAAGTCCGGCGCGTGTGGGGTAGGTGGAGGCTGTTTTGCTCCCTCCTTGCCTTTAAAGCTCAGAGCCTTCATTCTACAACTCTTAGTACGTCACCGAGGGTAAGTTGTGGTTAGGATTTTCGTTTTCAAAAGAGCAGCTCAGAGAGGAGAAATGAGATCGCGCTTCCTGCGGGTTCCAGCAGCAGCCGTGCGCTCTGCGCTTTCCTCTCCCTGCCCCGCTGTCTACCCGGCCCTTTTAGCGCTTTCCTTGCCTGGTTTTTCCTCGTCTCGATTTCTTTTTTCTGTGGCAATGGGATTCTTATTGTCGTTCTTTTAAATTAACGAAAAGTTTTTGTCTTTTTTCAAACGAAAGTAAAAAGCAGCCTCTGCGCCTCCCCAGTCGTCCTGAACTCAGGACGCGCGTCCATCTGTTCTTCCCGGCAGGAGTCGAGGTCTCCGAGGCCGAGGAGCGGCTTTGGCCTTGCCTCGCGCTACCTGTGCTGACGTCACGGCCTGGAGGGTTCGCCGAGGAGGTAACAGGTTGCGAATTTTGTTTCCCCGTGATGGCCACATTCGGGTTAATGCCCTGGCCTCTCCAGCTCTGATTTTATCAGGGGCCCCCACGCCCGCGCCTTTGCCTTTCATGAGCTAATGTTCTGTCAGTCTCATTTTTATTCTCCACTTTTCTCTCTCTCCTTCAGAGTTTAAAAAAAAAAAATCATTTAAATGAGAAAAGTGAGCTTCCTGGTTGTTCTCCCTCCACCCCCAACTTTGCGTGTTTTCGCGTCGCTCCTTCGACCCTCCCCAGCGGCAGGGGTCTGGCCCAGACGCGGACACACCCGGAGGGCAGGACGGGCCCAGGGCCCTGCCCCCCGCTGGCCCCGGAACTAGGGACCTGGCAGGAAGGCGCGACCGACAGGGCCCCACCGCCAGCCGCAGGACCTCGCGCCCCAGAGTGCCACGCTCGCTCCCTTGGAAGAAGGCAACCCGAAGGACGAGGCTGGATGGGGTGGGGGGGGAAGTGCCGAAGAATCTGGTGGAGAAAGTTCAACAGGGCTGGACGCGAGAGAGCTGCGACCCAGACAGCCTGCGATAGGGACAGAAACGGGCCGCTATCTCCCAGGAAATCCCATTCTCTCTGGAGCCTGGAATGGGTTTGGGAGAAAACAGTCAGCTCCAGAGATGGTCTTCGGGTGGAGCGAGGCTAAGGCGGTGCCTTGGGTCCGCCCGGAACGCAGGACCGAGCCTCAACTTGCAGCACCCTGAGGTTGTGTGGCTGAGTAAATCCACACGACAGCTGCGCCCCAGCGGAGGCGGGGTTGGGGGGCGCGGGCTTCGAGGATCCCCTCAGTGCTGGGGATCCCCGCTGGGGTCGCTAGGCGCCTGCTCCCAGAACTACTTCTCCGAAGTTTTCAGGAAATTATTTTAAAGTCAAAACGAAGTAAATTAGACAGATCCGCTTAGGTTGCAGAATGGTGGCTCAGGTAACTTTTATCGCGCTTGAGGCCAGGCCACTGCGAGACTCCCTCGCTTCGGTCGCTCGTGGGAGCCAAGAGGACTGGGAAGCTTTTCTTAGGAGGAGCGGGGTCATCCTAGAGCCCCACCCAGCAAAGCGTAGGGTTCTCTCTTCCCCAGTTCTGCCGCTTCTGTCTTCGCCGCTCTTTCCTCGCGCTCATGTCACGTCCCCACGGGTCCCAGGCCCACAGCCAGCCCTCTCACACCCTCCAAGGCTGGGGTGCTCATGTAAGTGAATGTGTTCTGCAGGGGAGCAGAACACCCGTCCGGGACAGAGGTCACCGTGCCCACACTTGGACAGGGTAGATGCCTTTGCCCAGCTTCCCGGGCCACTTGGGGCTCGTCCTGATTGAAACCGGTCAGGGAGAGGACCCCAGCGGGTCCCGATGAGCCGATGGCTGTGGGCAACCATACCTAGGCTGGGGAAACAGAGGCTACCCTGCCGTACACACACCCCTGAGTGTAGATTTACACCCAGATGTTGGTGTGCAGGAGTTCACTGCAGAAGTTCGGACACACACGTGCAGTGAGCGCATCCGGAGTCCCGCTCGCCTCTGACACTGCCCTATAGCCCAAGGAGCCCTTCAGAAACTTTGGCCTCTCAGATTCTCCTTTGTTCGTTTGGCTGCCAGGGCCTCCACCTGGGGAGTGACCCACAGCCTCCTGCTTCAGGTGACTGCGCAGCCAGGCAGGGCGCAGCCTCGCGGAGCGCGCCTTCCAGCACCCACGGAGCCTCGGATGCCAGCCCTGCGGCGCACCTGTGGCGGAGAGAGCCAGAGATCCTCGGGACAGACGGGGCGGCCCGGAGCGCAGGGCCTCACGCACGTGCAGGGCTCACTCGCGCCCTCAGTGCAGCATCATCGCTGACGCCTCTGCTGTGCCGAGGGTTGGGGCCCCGGGCGGGAGCACCCAGGCAAGAAAATGCCCCGGACCCGTCCCCACGCCCACGCCCGCGCCCAGCCAGTGCCCCGGCCGGGGTCCGAGGGGCGGGGCAGGGGCGGGGCCGGGACGGGAGCCCCGGCTTCCGGGCAGACTGCGAGCAGGGCTGGGGGCGCCGGCGGGGACCTGGGAGGCGTTGACTTTTGCGCTGTTTGCCCGCGGCCTCGGAGCAAGCAGACGCCATCTGTTTGCCGGCTGCGACGCGTCCCGTTTAATTACCCTCCCGGCAGCCTAATAGAGATGATATTAAACTAAATCTTTCTGACATTAAAAGTAATTATCCCCAAACCGGTGGCTCCAGGACGGAATCGCCCCTCCCGCCCCTACCTCTTCCCGAGCCGCGCTGGATTCCGTTAGTTTGGCTGAAACTTCTCCCGGGAAAGGGGTGCAGGAAAGACGGGGAGGCGCCTCGGGGAGAAGGGGTCCCGTAGGCCGCCTGACCCCCTTCTTCCCCGCACAACCGCAGACGCTCCGGTTCTTGCGCAGGCACACACTTGTACGCAAATACACACATTTCTCTCCAGATCAACTCAGGGATCCCTCTGGTTAAGACCCTCAGCTGCACACACCTCCAGGTGGACAGGGAGAAACCTGGTTTACTGTCCCTGTCCGAGATAAATGATCCCTTTCCGTGGTCAAAGCCACGGATCAAGCCTAAGCCAGGCCAGGGGCTAAGCGCAGTTTCAGAGCTAAGAAAAATTCCTCCCACGGTGGCTGAGTCTGGGCTTTCCTCGCGGTCTTCCTGCAGGGGCCCTTCGCCTGGCGCGTCCCCATAGGGCCGTAATGAAGTCGCACCACCCTGTACCAGGCGGGTCCTATTATTCCACGTGTTAGGTGAGAAACTCGACTCGGAGAGGTGAAGTGACTTGTCCCACATCGCACAAACAGTATGGAACAGAGCAAAATTCGAACCCGGGAGTACCCCATCCGGCGCCAAGGATCTGAACGGTTCCAGGCGTGGACTCCTGGGCGACAAAGACCCAACTCTGGCCTGACGCCCTTTGCGTCCCTAGGGCCCAAGCCGGTGCTCAGTTGCCTCCCATGCCCCCGATTCCCCAGCTAAGGAGGGATTGGGGGCCAAAGAAAACCCGGGGAGCCGACGCACTGGCGCTGAGAGCGCGGCAGGAGCCCCAGTGCTGAGCCCCAAGGGCCGCAACTCTCCTTGGACCAAGTCCTGGTGTCTGCAGGGCACGCGCGAGGGAGGGTCTGGCGAGCACCGCCAGCTTCCTGTCTCACAGACTCTGGGCTGGGTGCGTCTGAGCCTGAGACAAGCGCGCGCCAAGTGGGGCTCACCGCCTACGTGCTTGTGTTTTGAGTGCCTACTGTGTGTTGTAACGCTGCCGAACCCTTAGTGCGTGCTGTCTTGCTTGGCACACAGTGCTTGGGGAAGGTAGGACTTCCACGTTCCAGACACCGAGCGGCCAAGGTTCAGCGAGGCGAGGTAACTTGCCTAAGGCCACGAAGCTGCTGCGCCTTGAAAAACATAGAATCTCATACTAACATTCACTCTCGGGCTTAACTTCTCATCTTCCATTCTGGGTAGATAGGGTCGGACCTAGAGGCTTTCATTTCCATCATTCACAAACACCAGAGAACGAGTGATTCATTCATTCATTCAACAGGATTTTCTGGGCACCTCCTACTTACTTGCCAGGTGCTGAGGCCCTGCAATGAATCTCCCGTGAGGGCCCCTTATAGAGCTGTTTGCCAACTGGAGACACAGTTACCTACCAGTGACCTTACAGTGAGAGGAGAGCTGCAGTGGGAGTCTCTAATCTTGGGAATGGAGGGAAGGGGACTTCTCAGCGAAAGAGACCCTGGCTAGGAGACAAGTTTCCCAAACAGAAACACTGTTTGTTCTGAAAAAGTCAAACAAGATATTTTAGACAATTCAGAAAAAATATTTTTGGTGTACATGTCTCTAACCATTTTTCACAAAATACTTTTGTTACTTTTTTATTTGCAAGTATGATAAACTTTTTCGTATTAATCTACATATCTACATACTTTTTAAAGGATTAATTTCATGGTATGGATGTATTTTAATTTAGCCAATTCTTTAATGGATATTGAGTTTGTTTCCAATTTTGCTCCCATAACATTTGTTACCTTGAAATTCTTTTTGAATTTGCTCAAATACTTCACTAGGATATATTCTTTTTTTAATTTTTTGATTTTTTTGGTACTGGGAATTGGGACCTTGCGCTTGCTAGGCAGGCACTTGTACCACTGAGCCATATCCCCACCCCCACTAGGATACATTTCTAGAGATAACATTGGTCATGTTGTTTTTTGGGGTGGGGCTTGATAGTTACTTGTTAAAAAGCCCTTGGGAAAGTGTGTATCAAGGAAAACACTCAACAAAATGCATCTTTGCTGATGTTTTAAATCTCTGCCAATTCAAACAAATAGTATCTTATTGTCATTGTAATTTGCACTACCTTAGTCATTCCTTAGTTTTTCTCTACATGTGTTGGTCATTAGTGCTTTTATTTTTTTAACAATCCATTTATACCCTTTATTTTTTGATCATAGAAATCCTCTTTTCCTTAATTTTAATAGCTATCAATGTACCAAAGATAGCAGTATCCTTTGCACTGCCACATCTGCTACACTTCTCCAAATTTTTGGTTTACTCTGCCTTAGCATTGCTGTGCTAAGTTTTTTAGGTAGCCTCACTGTTTTTTTTTTTCCTTATAGATGTAAATACTGTACATTCACTTCTTGTTCCTGTGTAGTCTGAGGGTTGAACCGAGGGCTTCCTGCATGCTAGGCATGTCACCACCAAGACACAGCCCCAGCCCTTTTTGTTTTGAGGGTCATGCTAAGCTGTCCAGGCAGGCTGCAAACTTGTGGGGTTTTTTAATCCTTTGGCCTCAGCCTCCTGGGTAGCAGGGATAAGAGACCTTGGCCACCACTCCCAAAGTCACCTATTTTTATTTTATTTTATCTATTTATTTTCACTTTTTTGGAGACAGGGTCTTGCTCTGTAATTCAGGCTGGCCTTGAACTCACTGTGTAGCCCAGGCTGGCCTTGAACTTGCAGTGATCCTCCTGCCTCAGCCTCCTGAGTGCTGGGATTACAGGTGTACACCACCATGCCTGCTGCACCTATTTTTATATTTGCCCTATTCCATTATTTACCTTTATACTTTTAGCCATTTGAAATGAATTCTGTAGGAAAGTGTGATGCTTGTAACTTCATTTTCCCCCGAACGATTAGCCAGTTATCATAGCACCATGCAATGATCCTGTCATCCCTCCACCGACCGTATGCTATACACTAAAATTTCAGATGGCCTGGGTCAGTTTTAGCACTTTTTCTTCTAGGGAGCTGTTTACGTTTCTTGAATGAGCCTCACCATTTTAATTACTGTAGTTCTGTAATGTGTGGGAAGGAAGTCCTATTTCTGACCCCAATCCTTCTTTCTAAAAATTCTAAAGGCTACTTTCAAAATATAGTTTTCTGATTAAACACTTTATTGATTGTAAAGCTAATTTCAAAAAAGAAAAGGTAAATTTGGAAATTTAACTACTGTTAGATTTTAGAAATTTGAGGACAAGTGTGCCTCTTCACAGTATAGGATGTTTCCATCTAAGACGGAGTGTCTTCATTCATAACTTATGTCTCTTGGTAAGTGTTCTTGTTCGCTTCCTGCAGTTCTGTGTCTTCACAGTACATCTTTGGTATATGTAGCTGCTGAGAACGGACTCTTTTCACCCACCACAACTTTTAACTAGTTATGATGGGAGCATAAGAAAGTTCCTGATTATATGGAACTAGTCTTCTTTCTGGTTAAGCCTTTTCTTCGGCTTCAAATTTTCAAATTAGTTCTCACAGCACTGACCAGGCGAACGAAGGAAGAAAATGCAGAGGAAACAGAAAGACTCAGGTGATTTGCCAGTCCTTCTGGGGCTTTAGCAATGGTGTACACTTACAGGGCGGTCTTCTTGGCGCCACCTTTCTCCTGGATCCAGTGCCCAAGGAAGAAGGCCTCTGAAACGGAGACTCCAGGAATCAGCTAATGTATCTCTCAGACTGAGAGCCTCGGCTCTGATGTGCGACCCTGGGCAAGTCGCCAGCCATCTCTGGGCCCGCCTGCAGTCACCCCAGTCAGACTACCTGCAGGACAGCAGTAGCCAGGCGGGGATTAGGGCTGGCTCCTGGGCTGGATAAGACTGGATTTGAGCTCCTCCTCAGAAGTGTGGTGAGGGGCTATTGGCAGCCACATACTCCCAGTCCCTAACCTCCAGGTCAGAGACTAAATTGGAGAGCGGTAGGTGTGGAAATTGACCCCTGCAGACCACCCACACTCTCCCTGTTTACACACACACTCTGTTTTCACCTTTTCCTCGTGCAGAGGCCTACTCTAGCTTCTTCGGCACATCCCCGTCCCATTTCCTGCCCGTCCGCACAGTCTCCTGGGCTGTGTGTGGACCAGGTGAGTTCCTGGCTCCCTGACTTGCTCAGGGCCTGCCTGGCCCATCCTTCTCTAATTTGGAGCCTAATACTGGTAGGTGCAGACCCAACAAGTCAGCTGTCTTTCCTGGGATCAAGGTCAAGGTGGAAGATGCGCACGGGTGGCTCAGACTCCAGGCTTGCCGTGGTAGTGATGCACAGATATCTGCCTCCTCCAGGTTCCCAGTCCCAGGCCAGTTAGCTACCTGGAACACTTCTACTCATCCTTTAGGACCCAGTCTCTGAATGCCCTGTGCTCCCGTGTGGGTAGGTCAGTAGGTCCAGCCAATGCCTGATGCTCTCTAGTTTCTCTACTCTGTAGCCTCTGGACCTGCATAGCAGCCATTTTCATCTCAGCTTATGTCAGAGGAAACTGAGGCACAAGGGGAAGTGGCTTTCCAGGGCCATACGGTAGTGTGGGCGAGGGTTGAGATGTGTTCTTTGCATCTACAGAAGAGAAGTTGGTAGAGACTAGGAAATGGAACTGAGGCCACTTTCCCCACCCAGCTCCCAGAACGGGCCTGCTGGAGCGGGCACAAGCATCAGGAAGGAGGCACTTCCTGTACTGTCGAGAGCCTCTTCCTTCGGGGGCTCCTTGTGTTCTCGCTGGGGGACGAGCGTCAGGCACCCCTTCTAGTATTCCCAGCACCTCACCTCTGGTCACAGAGCCTGGGCGTCCCA